TTTAAAAATAAACATATTGTGTGCATGAACTGTAAATGTATGCATGTCTCATCAAATGGCTTCTCGGGGAACTTGCTGCTGCATTATGTACTTAGGCTTCAGTCTTTTGAAGGGAGTCCTTTTAAATCCATGTGACATGCAGCTGAATATGCTAGTCACGGGGTGGGGGTGGGAATCCGCCTCAGACAGTTGTAGCAAACATGCTTAAGAATCATATTCTAGTAAGTATTCACTTATACCAGCATGAGTAAGTATTTATCAATAACTAGAACTTGCAGTACAAGCCAATTACCAGCGGGGCTAATGAAGTGCTTTATTTCCGTCTTGTATTATGCACAGCTTGTTGCCTTTTCAGTCCAATTTATATATACAGTGGTACCTCGGGTTACATACTCTTCAAGTTACAGACTCCGCTAACCCAGAAATATTACCTCGGGTTAAGGACTTTGCTTCAGGATGAGAACAGAAATCGTGTTCTGGCAGCACGGCAACAGCAGGAGGCCCCATTAGCTAAAGTGGTGCTTCAGGTTAAGAACGGTTTCAGGTTAAGAACGGACCTCCAGAACGAATTAAGTACTTAACCTGAGGTACCACTGTACTGATAATTAATATTGGTATTAAGGCAGGTCTTAAAACTTCCTTAACCAAATTCCACCCAGAGTTAATCAGTGCGACTCTTGTAACTTCAACCAAAGTTAAATTCTTAACTGGGTTTTGGGGGGGCAGTTTTTGTTTTTAATTGCTGCTAGAGATTTTACCTCAATTACATTGTTTTTCTTTACTATCTCAGATATTATTTTGGGAGAAATATACCATGGAGGGTCGTGGCAGATATCAAGGTAAGCCAAAATCACAGGTCTTCGTGGTTTCTATTTTTGTTTTATATTGCAGATACTTTTAACCCACCATCCAAACCCACACTCACCTCTGCCTGGCAGAGCAGCACTGTCACAACCACAGTACCACTACTTCTGCTGGCCACAAGGAAAAATGCCTTCTTGCTATGACATCCCCTAGGTCTATTGCCATCACATAATGGCAGCAGAGCTGGCTCAAGGTTGAGTGGATCCTTTGCTGGCCCAGTTCCACCCTTCCCCAACCCTGAAATGCCCCACTTCAGGGAGTCCTGCTGACTCCTGCCAGTGGGGCCTCTGCCCACCTGCCATTTACATTGGGGCATTCCTTGTTGGTGTAACTGGGCAGGGCTGGGTGGAGAGACACCTCTGCTTCATCCCAACCTCCTCCAGTGTCATGGACTAGTTGGACGCACAGGAATGGTGGGAAGAAGGTTCAGAGCCCAAGTAGTAGTGGTAGGATGGAGAAGAGGGAGAAGACAGGGATGAGGTGGTGTCGGAAGCGGAAGATGTAACAGGGCTTAGTGAGCTGGGGGAGTCTGTGGCAGAGAGAAGTCTGATCTAATTCTGATCAGAGGCAGAAGCTGAAGCAGGAGAGGAGGGAGGCCAAGAGGCAGGGATTATTCCGGTTGTTAAAGAGGCATCGGTGTCTGCCCCTCCCCTTGTAACAAGCATCTTTCTCTCCCCTGGTCTTCCAGAACCAGGAGAGGCATGAAAAGGGTGAAGATAGCTTCACACAACCAGTGTCTTGCATTGCTTGGGAAAGACCCTGGAGAGGAGGGGACTTAGGCAGCTATGGGGAGGCGGGATAATTTAGGAATAGTTACAAGACACTTTTTTTTTTAACGGCGCAGTATGACCTAGGGTAGATCAAGAATATACTCAGTAATTCTGATTTCTGTACAGAAGAGCAAGCAATGCGGAAGATTGATGTTATGGGACTTTTGACTGGCTTGGTCGCAATTGGAGTACTGTTGATCATAACTGGGTTACTTATTTATTTTCTCTGCCAAAAGAAGTGCAAACAAAGACATCTACCACGGTAAGAAAACAAGTTTTGTAATTTCCAACACTTTGTTCAGTGTATTCAAGTTTGACATGGAAGTTTCTGTACCCCCCCCCAAAAAAAATTTATGGGTGCGGTATATATGTGTGCTGTATGTTTACTGCATTTTGTCCCATTTGGGTTTGTGCTGTGCAGATATTTATCTGAAGCATTTGTACCCTGCTGTTAGCCAAAAAAGCTCCCAAAGTGGCTTACACACAATAAAAACAAGGCAGTCTCTACTTGGGAGACTTACAAACTCAAAACATACAAGGGAAAGAATGAACAGCTGGCGCAGCTCAGGGACAGGCAGTTCATGAAGGAGCCCTGCTTCCTATTTCTCCCACTGAGGCAGTATGTTGGAATGGCTGCCCACAGATGACAACTGAGGCGAGATGAGGCCTGATGGAGCTGTTCTGTCACAGCAGATTCAATGGAGTGAGCTCTGCTTCCCAGCTCTCCCACTGCTGGAATGGCTGCCCCCAGGAGACAGCCTTGCTGTCACCTGTCCCAAGGTGATATGCCTTGGGACTTAAGAGAAAAAAATGGGAATAGGGTATGACTTACCAAATAATCTATGGATTTCTACTTGGACAGTTGAATCTTTCAGAATAGATTTTTAAAAATAATCCTGCTGTATCCTAATATATGGAGATTTGGATGGAAGTAAGGTATATGAAATTGTTATGACCATGGAAGAGCATGAAGATCAGTGGGCAAAGCTAATTGCTGAGGTTTGTGGGAAAGATAAAGGCAAAATCTGGAGCCAGGAACAATGACAGGGAATAACGAAGAGAAACAGCCTTATACTGATTCATACCATTGATTCATCTAGCTCAGAATACTGACTGCCAGCAGCTCTCCAGAGCTCCTGACAAATTGTCCCTCAGCACACACAGCCCCGTCCTACATTTGTCAATGACATATGTACTCTTTTAATTCTTCAGAGGTGATGTGCCCTTGTCCAGTGCTGATCCATATGCTTTAGTAAAATGGGGTTAGGGAACTATACCAGCACAAGTGGATACTGTACTCCCATTCTATGCCACCTTGTTCTCTGAGCGGCAGACACTAGCCACTGAAAACACTGTACTCCCAAGAAAGTGTAGTTCAGGTTCTTCTCTCAAATGAAGTTTTGGACTCTTATACTTAATCACCACTCTGCCATTCTTAAAAGTTTTGCTTTTATTTTAGGGATAGAAGCTACAGGAGGCGTAACTCTTCCATCATCTTTCAAAGACACGAAGAGATTTCCTTAAACCCTCTCTCTCCATGCACAGAACACAGTGGGTTGCCAACTTATGAACAAGCAGTAGCACAAAGCGGCAATTGTGAAGTTCCACCGCCGCCATATCCAGGCCCTTCAAGAGGGCTTAGGGCATTCAAGAAGTCTCTCTCTCTTCCTGTTTAATTAAGAAACGGGGCTTGCAGAATGCTTGAGAATTAACTTGGAGAGAAGAAGCTGTCTAGCTGAAATGCTGCAGCACTGTGCTTACTTCAGGAGTCTTTCACAGGGTGAAAGGGATACAGCTCTTCAGTGTGCCTGAGAGGAAGTGAAGTGTGTCAGGTGAACAAGGAATGCACCCTTAAGCAATGTGCTGATGGCTAAGGATGAACGACTCCTTTTGTTATGCTTCATTTTAGGTGCTAAGAACTGTAGTGAACTCCTCTGATGCATTCTGAGCCAATTGGTGCAATCAGTGCATTGATTTGCCAGCCTTTCTGTCTCTCACCAACTTAGCACTTTCATTATCAATTTTTTTAAAAGCTGCATTTTTTAAATTAAAAAAAACACCAATTCAGATTGGTAATAAAGTGGGAATGATAATATGAATAAGCACAGGATCCTTGCTTTGAACTAGTTTTAACCACAATAAAAGGAAGAGCTAGTAACATAATATAAATGGAATGTTTCTCTAACTCTGAACAACTTAAACTGTGTTTTTTAAACTAGCAATAACACATCTTTAATTGAATGGTGCTTCCTCCTCATTTGTCTCTCAGTGTGCATTAAATCCTGAATCTTCATGCATCCGATGAAATAGGCCTTAAGTATTACCCCAAGTTACATGAGGGGGGAAGGAAGAAGAATGGAAGCTGAGAGAAAACATGCTATTAGCAGTGGCCATTCACAACACAGTTAACAACACAGTCCTGGTATTGGTTAGCTAATTAACATCAGGCAGATTTATTAAAACTTACATTGAAGCCACTGAATTAACTGTATGTTTGCATACAGTTTATAAGTGCAGGTATATTTGTTGCAGAATACTTGCAGAATACTTAGAGAAGTATCTTCTCTATTTCTGGGAGCGATGTTAAACCAAAGGAGCTAAGCCGCTAAGGGAAACGTGAAATAGCTACTGCCATGGGGTGAGGAACAGTGCACGTCCTGTTTTCAGAAAAGAAGCATGTACAATATTCTGTTCGAGCGTTTGATTTCTCCACCTACATTCCAAAGCAGAGAAATAGTTCACACCCACCCCCTGGAAACTGTATGAACTTTGGGGACATTTTACACATTACCCACAACAACAAACCGGAGGCTCTCCAGCATGTACACTCTGCAAGCAGAAACAGCTAATCTTGGCTTCCTGGATGAGACACGTGTATGACACTTCTCACGTCGACAACTTTAAACATTCACAGTTTTGTAAGCTGGTAGGCATACAAGCTAAAACAGTGCACGAGGGAGAAAATAAAATCTGAGGAAGGAGTGTCCGCGTGGCTCCAGAACTTCTAGCTCAGTCACGGAAAACCATTTTCACCTGCACACAAAAAGATGGCAAAGCATTCCCCACCGCACGGCGGCCAACACGGGTCCTTACTGCAGCCCATCCGAAGTATGCAATCCCCAGTCGCCATACCAGGCTTCGGCTACCCCGAAGCTTGTCCGTATTTAGGGCTCCTCGGTTATTGCCCGCATTCTGACGCGCCGCCTTTCCCGGTTCCGCTCTGTAGGCCAAGCTCACTCCTTCCTCCCTTCCTTCTCCCGCCGCCGCTGCTACGATTACGGATCCTCGGCGGCGGCGGCAGCAGCGGCAGCAGCAGCAGCAGCAGCAGCTTCCCGTGCTCTGGAGCCCCAGTAAACTGTGGCGGGGGTGGGAGGGACATCCTGGTAAGCAGCCGCCGCAGCAGCAGCAGCCCAACATGGGTCTTCGGCTGGGCTGCTTGCAGCCGCCGCTCCCCTAATTACGAGCCGCCCTCCCGCCCCTCGCGGCGGAAACCGAGGGGAGGGCCGCGTCGGGGGTGGCCGCCGCTGCCGCCCTCCTCCTCCTCCTCCTGCGAGCGTGAAGGGGGGGAGTCGCTCCCACCCGCTCGGTCCTTGCAGCTGCAGCCGCCGCCGCCAAGCAGCCCGCCCGCCTCCGCCCCCTTTCCCTTCTCCCCGCGCGCCCAGGCCCCGCGCGGAGCCGCGGCGTCCCCTCCTTTCCCGCTCCGATGATGGACAGGAACTACCCGGCGACCCCCAGCTACCCCGACCCGCTGGCTTCGGTCGCCGCCGCGTCCTCGCCGCCGCCCTCCGCCTGGGCCTACGAGCGGGGCGCCAGCAGCCTCAAGGCCAGGTAAGGAGGGTCCGCTCTGCAGCCGGCGGCTCGCCTGCTGCGGGGGCTGCGCCACGAAAGGCCGGGGATTGGGACGAGGCCTCCGGTGCCCCTCGCGCCCGCGGGGCGTGACCGCCGCTCCTCGAAGCGGCGGAGGCGCCGGCGCTTGGGGAGGCTTCCCTCCTCCCGAAAGGAGAAAGCGGCGGCGGGCAGCCCTTCTCCGGCGCTGCGGGGGCCCAGGGCGCCGTTGGGGTTTGGAGGCGGGTGTCGCGAGAGGAAGGAGGCTGGGAGGGCGAGCAGCTAAGGGGCAATAAGAGCCGGTGGAGGGCGAGGGAGGCGGCTCCGTGGTGTAGGAGAGGACCGGGGCGGGGGGCGCGAGGGTGATTCGGGGCTGCCATGCAATCCCCAAGCCACGCTTCTCATTTTCTCTCTTCTATAAAATCACGCTTTCTGCAACTTGGAGCGTTTTTTCTTTCTTCCCCTCGGCGTGGGAACAGGGAACCCACGCATTCCAAAATTAGTCCTCCTTTTCCCTTCACCCCCCTCCCCCATTAAAGTGCATTTAAACTACTAAGAAAGCGGGGAAAGTTGCCCTGCTTTTCGTCTCCTGCTCCCAAGGGGTGTGTGTGTGTGCGCGCGCGCGCGCGTTCACCAGGCATGTTGGAGTTCAAGAGTTCGTGTTTACTTTTTACGTTGCCTAGGGGAAGCCCATCTCATACTGTATCAACTTTTTGTGTGTGTCGTCTTTGAGATATTTGGAGGAAAGTGGGGAAGGCTCCCCCACCCCCATATGTATACAGTCAATCCTAGTGAGCAGAGCGAGGCTTTAAAGGTGTGGCACAATTTGTTAAACGGCAGTTTACAGAGGGAAGGAGTGTGAAGAACAATACCGTGTGCTTTGGAGGTTGAAAGCGCAGAGTTGGCAATTGGGGATGGGCATTGCAAACTCTGGATGATTTCATCTTAAGCCGCCAGAGTGTGTTTTGGGTTCATCTCATGGCTTCCCAGCATCCTCGCATCATTTAGATTTTATTATGTTATCTATTGTTTTACTATAGATAAAGGGTTATGGATGTTCTGACTCTTTATGCTGAAACTTGCCCAAGAGCATAAAATCCCCAGGGGTTTAACGGAGTAAAGCGTGGAATAATGAATGTGATCCTTTTATATTTCCTTTTGTATTGCTTTTTCATACATGCTGGCAAAGGTGCTTTTACCATGCTGTGAGTATAGTAGCTTGCCCTACGATATATATTTTTAAATGTAGGTTTAACTGTATATTTAAGCAACTTGTGCTTCTTAAAACAAGTGAGGGATTTTGCATGTTGAACCTGAAATCCGGATGGGTGTTGGTATGGAACAGGTAGGAGCTGCAACAAAATGTTGCAGTGGATCTCTGAGCTGGAACAACAGTGGGAGAAATTGGTATCTCCACCAACCAATCTTAATTTATATTAGCTTTTATATTTTGATGACTTTAACCAATTTTGATTCAGTAAGCAAATTTATAGACAGCTCTTTAACATTGACCGAGGAGCAGTCATCCAGGTACCTCCCCCAATAATCCTTTAGCTTGTTTTAACTTAGATGTAAGAGATTTTTTTAGAAAGTACTGTAATTAAAAACCATGCTCATAGGCAAAATCAAAATAGGTGTGTGGTGCTTTGGCCCATGAGGAGAACAAGGAAATCTCATTTGCTGGCAGTCAGGCTTTGATAAGCTTGCAGGGCTTGATAATTCCCTGGCTTGCAAGTCAGCCCAAGCCTGCTCACCAGCAAACTAAGAGGAGAGTGGGAGAATGAGAACAGAGGAAGCCGCCTTATACCTAGTCGGGCCATTGGTCCACCTAGCTCAGTTTTGTCTACACTGATGGGCAGTGGCTCTCCTGGATTTCACACAGGCTTCTCTCCCAGTCATACCTGGAGATTAAACCTGGGACTTTCTGTGTCCAAAGCAGATGCTCTTCTATTAAACTACAGTGGTACCTCGGGTTACATATGCTTCAGGTTACATATGCTTCAGGTTACAGACTCCGCTAACCCAGAAATAGTACCTCGGGTTAAGAACTTTACTTCAGAATGAGAACAGAAATTGCGCGGTGGCAGCAGCAGCAGCAAAAGGAGGCCCCATTAGCTAAAGTGGTACCTCAGGTTAAGAACAGTTTCAGGTTAAGAACAGACCTCCGAAACGAATTAAGTACTTAACCTGAGGTACCACTATACAGCCTTTCCCCACAAGAGAATTTTCATTGTTGATGGCCAGGCTCAAAAGATCATGGAGATGGTAAAAGCTGATGAGTTAAAAGTTGGCAAGTGCTTTGTCGTGTGCTGCATGCTTTTTCTCATCAGGGGCTCTCACTCCCATAGCCAGGACCATGTAATAACTCTGCTTTAAGTCACTTGCTTGATGATAGGTAAGGGCAAATTGAGGGGGAAATATGTACAGATTTCTTGCTTCAAGGGCCCCAAAGCGGAAGGGTAACTGAGCAGGGGTGTTAGGGGAGGGGTAGTACCTATGGTGGGGGACATGTTGTGTTTCTTCTGGGGAGGTTTGTCCACTTTTGATCCCTATCCTGCACTCAGCTCTCAGCTGTGGCTCCCAGAAGCTGTCGGCAGGCGATAGCAGCCACACCAGGGAACAGCTTCAACTGGCAAGATAAACCAAGTGAGGGGTAGCTGATGGATCTCAAACCCTTTGTGAGTTCGGGGCTTTCCCACATGTGAAGACAGGCTCATGTGGACTGAGCAGATGGGACCAATAGTGGGTCTAATGGTCAAGAAGTTGTTTTCTTCACATGCTGCATGTGAGTGGCAGATGAGGCCTGTCAACCTTGGAAGGTAGCCCATCTTAGAGTAGGAAAACTCCGGTCCTAAACTTATGGTTACAGGATATTTTCAGGAGAATAAAAAGCTAAGGAGTAAAACCCTGCAAAACAAAACAAAACTGGAGTATTTGCCCTGCTTTCCTTTGGCGGACCACATCAGCAAGGCCGAGAATGGGGTCTTGTCATCTGTGCAGCCCAAGACCTCCGTACACATACAAGGCTTTTGCCCTGTGGAGGTGACTTCAGTCCTGCTAACAGAGCAGTTTTACTTCGCCCCCAGAAGCACACTCCATTGTCTCTTGAGACAGATAGATGCCAACAAAGCTGTATTCATGTAGCCTACATTCCATAACATGAGGGCAATGCACTGATGCAGTCCTCTGTCCCCTTTTGAGGAGGATTTCACCTTTTGGGGAAGGAAATGTTGAAGGAAATGTGTGTTTGTATATATTCTGGCTTGCTCATGGTCCTGCTTTGCCTTCAACAGTAAGCATGGGGCCAGCATCTTTGCAGTTATAGGGAGCAAGTGGGACACCACAAAAAATGTAGCATATTTTCGGCTCTTAAGAGAAGTGCTCCTGTTCAAAGAACCACCCAAGCTGGACCATGTAGCACTATTCAGACCTCTAGGGAGGAAGGTCACCTTGCTCCTCATGTCTTCCCATGCTTGCTATATGGTGTTAAGGGAGCTCAGTTTGGGGGTTGATTGGTAGCTCCAACCCTAAGCATTTCACTATCTTATGAAGGAGGAGAGTGGTTCTGGATAACATTCTTTTATTCCATCTGAATCCTGTACAGTCCAATTCCATGCAATTCCATAACCTTCTATAAGCAGCATGAGATGTGAGCAATTCCTCCCCCCTTTTTCATCCCCCCCTTCGCCCCTAATATTCTATGTCTCTTCTGGTTTACTAATACAATCTGCCTAGCTTTTGCTTCCATTAGGCCCATTTTTCATTCTCTGGAGTAAAGTGGCTGCAGTTCGTAAAAGAGAGTAGAGAAATCTAGGATTTTAGCATAGGTGTGATTGCCTGCATGCCTGCCTCCCACCCCTCAAAAAATAACATGTGACAACAAATATAGGAGTTCTTGCTTGTAGGGTTCAAAGTGAACCCAGAGGTTGCCTTTCCAGAGAGACAAGTTATTCTATATTTTATTTCCTCTATGTCCTCAGTGTTCCGCAGGTCACATGTAGTGATATTAAATTCTCGAGAATATTCTTTTGACTCCTCAAACATCTTAAGAGGATAAGTCACCATCTTCGTCTCCACTGGTAACAGAGCTTTCACTTCCACACTGATCATCTGCGAGATCATAAAACGAAGTTGATGGTTGTGTAAAATTCAATGAGCTTGTTAGAAGCTGTGTTTTCTTCTCTTCTAGGAGTTTTAAGTTATGAGCTACATATGTAAGCTTTCCTGCTCTGTCTATAGTAATTCATTCAGCAAAAAGGAATAGGCTAAGTTCATAAGTACTGAAGCTACATTCTATGGCAGCTGTCGTTGGTGGCATATTTAAAATGTCCACAGCCACTCGGCTGAGCTTTGAACCAAAGCATGGTCCCTTCCACTAAACCACTGTATCCACTTTTTTCAATACGTATGACTTGCTAAAAAAATTCTTCCTTAGCACAATATACTGCCAGCTCTGCCAAAATATCTTGTGCACCATTTGGTGCACTTGCTGATATTTTGAGATCAACTCAGTACCTTGAATTTGTTTATTTCGTGATAAATGAACGTCATTATACTTTAGATCAAGGATATTTGCAGCAAAGTGAATTGGCTGCAATGCCATTTCTTTTCTTAACTGCCTCTTTCATCTATTTCTCTTCTTTATAAGGGGGCTCAAAGGAATCACTTTTTCAAAGTGATCTTCTAGTTCTTTAAATGACTCAACCACCCAACCTCAAACCACCTTGGTGTGTTCGATTCTAATAACATTATCCATTTCACTATTGGAGCAATAAGGTCATATTTTATTCTTCCGTTAGAACGTGTACATGTTATAGGACAAGTCAAAAAATGCAATTGGCATGTTAAGGTTTGATACAAGTAAATTCAGTAATATCACAGCTTGATTTATTATTTACTAGATTTTTTAAATGTGGGTGGTGAAACTGGTTCTTACATTAGAATTTAGTTTGCGGAGAATATTCTCCGAGAGAATTTTCTAGCAGAGAATATTCTTACCTCAC